AGATGGATGGTAAAGGAGACAGACGGACAGGAGGAGGGACAGGCGGACAGGACCAGGGACAGACAAATGGGAGAAGGGACGGACGGGTGGGAGAGGGGACAGATGGATGGTAAAGGAGACAGACGGACAGGAGGAGGGACGCGCTGGCTCACCGGCGGCTGAGCGAGGGCTGCGCAGGGGCTGCTCGGGAGCGGGGGGATCCTCTCGGCTCGGCAGCTCTTGCGCCTCTGGGCACGGAGCTCGGGTGGGCTTGGTGGCCGCTTGCTGGGCAGGAAATGACTGTCGTGGTGCAATATCCTGAGACAGCTCAGTGCGGGTGACATTTGACTGGATGTCCAGCCCCGGGACTCGGCTCCCGTTTGATTTTGCCGCAGGGTGGGGACGGGAGCGGTGAGGCCACGGGCAGGTGTCGGTGTGGAAGCCGCAGGTGCCTGAGGATGGACGGGGGTCCCCGAGGCTTCCTGAGTGTCCCCTCCACTGTCACCCCGCCGGGCTCAGAGGCTGGATCCTGCCTGGATCCTTCTGTGGGGGAAATACATCCTAGGTCCTGCCCCAGCGCTGGGAATCCTGAGGGGCTGAGATGGGTTATAACAAAGGTGCCAAAGCTGACCCTGATGCCACCTCTGTATCAGGGTGAGCTCAGGGCTCTTTTCGGGGGGAAAGAGCTGATAGCTGACCTGTCTGCCCGGGCAGCGCTCCCGCAGGAGCCGATGGCAGATGGATGTCGCCAGAGAAGCACCTCTGGCCGGGCAGCAATTAATCACAGAGCCGTGATTGCCTCGCAGGGGAAGCGAGGGGGCTCAAGCCTTGCCCCGGCGCTGGGGAGGGGGCTGATAGGCAGAAAATTTTGCATCGGGCTGCAAGTCCTGCGAAACAATTGCAGGAAATCTCGTTTTTTACAGTGCAGCCAAGACTGCGGGATCAACAATTGGCTCGGAAGGAAGGCACGGGGAGCAGGGAAGCACGAGAGCACTGATAAGTCGGGGCTCACAACAACAAGCCCAGCGCTGGTGACCCCGTGTGCAGGTACCAACGCCGGCAGGACCGGCTTCCAAACAGGAACTCGGCAGCTTCGTGCTGGCCCCGGGCACATTTTGGCTCAGCTGGGGCCGTGGGGGTGGAGAGGGGCCGCTCTGCCACCGAGGGGCTGCGGGGCTTTGCCCCACCCAAGGGGGAAGCGATGCTCTGCTGGTTCTATTTAACAGGTCAGGGATTTTCCACGCTGAGCTCTGAGGCTGAGCGGGATCTGGGAGCCGCCAAGGATTTCGCAGGGGCTGCTGATCGTGGTGGGAATAGCGAGGTTTGGGAGCACATTGTATTTCCAAGCCGGCTGAGCCGCGGAGCTGGGACAAGCTCAGCCCCTTCTACCCATCCCTGCCGCAATGCCTGGGGCGCCCCAAGGCTCTCAGCACCCCAAATGTGTGCCCAGGAGCCCCCAGCCCCCCTCAAGCTCTAGAGGGGTGGGCTCCAGGCAAAGGCAGAGCCGGGGATCCGCCGTTCTCCCACCCCTTCCCTCCCCTGGCAGCCGTCGCTGGCCCGCGATGCTGCCCGGGGGATGTGGGTACAGGTGTGCCAAGGCAGGTACAGCCAAGGCAGCAGCTCCCGGGGACTTGGCACGCCGCATCCCGGCCTCTGGGGACCCAGAACGCCACGTGTGGGGGCTGCCGGGGGCGCTGTACTTTGTAAGCCAAAGAAAACACTCCGAAGAAGCTTCCTTGGCTGGGGAAGCAGCTCGGCGAGCTGAACGCAGCTTGTGCAAGGTCCCGGGTCGTCCTCATCCCTCTCGCCCTCCCTGTCGCATCTCAGGGGTCCTGGTCCAGAGTGGGCTCGGCCTCTGCCAGAGCTGGGGGGAGTGGGGCTGCTTTGGAGCTGCTCTGGTCCCGCAGGCAAGAGCACAATCTCAGAAGTCTGCCCCTCAGCTACTGATCGCTAATCAGCGCTTAATTAGCTCGATGAGTGACGCAGGGATCACCGCCCACGTACCCGGGGGATGGATAAACACCGCATGGCTTTTCCGAGCCCGTTCCCTGGCAGCTCAGCCGGGGCATCCTTGGATACGCCGTGCCAGAGGATGGATAAACACCGCGCTGCCTTTCCCAGCTCGTTCCCTGCCAGCCGAACCGGGCTATCTCGGGATACGCGACTGCTCTGGGCACAGGCAGCAGCCGGGATTCTGCCACGGGTCACCAGCACCGTGGCCAAGTGGCCATCGGACACCTGCGAGGCCGGAGTCCCAGCATTGCACCGCTTTTATTGAGCACGTTCTGGAGGGCATGAGCCACATCTCATGGCGCTCTGGTGGCCATCGTCAGGGGATCCCGCTGGCCGGGATGGGCAGGAAGAGGCCAAGGATGGTGTCGGACAGCCAGGCCGGGCAGTAGCTGAGGGGCAGGAAGATGAGCCGGGCATCCCAGCCGGCGGCGTAGCGGCTGCGGGGGCAGCGGGAGAGCAGCGCGTGTGTCATGGCATCGGTGACATGCGACAGGCGGGAGCTGCTCAGGCGGTGCAGCAGGGTGGTGCTCTTGGCATCTGAGTGGGCAGAAGGGGTTCAGCCCGATGGAGGGGTCACCGGGGGTGATAGTGAGGTGTGGGGATGGACTCACATTTGTCTACGTAGTGGCGGCCGTAGGCTGCCTGGGCTTCTGCCGGGAGGCGCTCCCAGAGGCGAACGAAGCCCTTCACCAGCGGTGCTGGGTCGATCATTCCCGTCTGGAAGCCTCCAGGTTCGATGATGGAGACCTGCACCCCGAAGGGACGCAGCTCCCGCCTGCCCGAGGTGGGGGCGTCAGCGGGAGCTGCTGCCCAGAGGAGGGCAGAGATTGGGGCAGCTCGTGACATCCCCCAGGCATCCCGTCACGGGCACAGGGGAGCCTTGTCCTTGCTCCACAGACCCTCTTGGATCCCGAGACATCCCCAGACCTCAGTGCCCCGGGACGCCTCCGGGTCTCGGGATCCTGGAATTCCCCTGAACCTCAGTGCCTCGGGACCACCCCAGACCCCGGAGCATTCCCGGATCCCGGGGCCTCCCCGAATCTCAGTGCCCCGGGACTTTCCTCGACTCCAGAACCCCTCATCCTGAGACACCCCGGGACTTCCCGGACTGGTCCATACCCCCGGCCCCAAAATCCCTCCGGTACTTTGCTCCAGGGCTCCTTGAAACCCTTGCCCTGGTTGCACACCCACGGCTCCAAGCCCGCTTGTGGTCAGCGTTTCACAAACTCTCTGGGGCAAATGTAACGGAGAGCCGCCTAAAACCTTGTGTGAGGACAGCGAGGCAAGGCCGGGGCTGCTGGAGAGCACGGGAGGGCTCCGGGGGCTGCCACAGCCATACCTGAGGCTGTCAGAGAAGGCTTCCACGCCGTACTTGGAGATGCAGTAGCCGCCACCGAAACAAGACACGCGGCCCATCACGCTGGCCACATTGACCACGCGGCCCCGCGCCCGCCGCAGCAGCGGCAGGAGGCTCAGCGTCACCTCCACCAGCCCGACCAGGT